GCATTCGAAGACGCGGTGAGGGGGGGGGAGAGTGTGACCTGCAACCCAGTTCTGAAATTCGCTTGTGGACACAAGAACATCATCAATTGTCCATCATCATCATCGTACGGCGAAATACAGTGAAACGAACTTTACTGATCGCCGCCAATCTCGCAGTGTATACAAGGTTAGTGATAAAATTTAAGATGGACAGGGAATGGACCTACTTTGAGGGAAGGGGAACCACTGTGGTCAACACACAGCGAGTGCACAACCGACCTATGCATACACACACTGTTTCAAGCGTTCTGGCCTGATAAGAAATGACAACAAGAAAGCCACTGTCGTCGGTTCGCTGCCACATTCTTCAATGTTTCCAACCAACCGGTTGTGGAGTCTTTCGGACCCCAACCTGGAAGGCGAGAGACACCTACTCTACTCTCTAAAGGCTCTGCATTTCTTCCTGCCTCGTCTCCACGTCATCTGTTGACCTTCATGTGGTTTCCTCCAGTCCGAGGTGGCTGCAGCAAATAAAGCGCGATGCCACAGACGATGGCTGGGCATACGGTATCTTAGGTCGGGACATCCAAAGACCACACTATCTATTTAGACGGAGAATGTTTGAATTATCCCATTTGGTTATTAACACAGGCACCAGACACTGAACTGTTGATGACCTTGGGTGTGTGTGGTTGTGTGTTTTGCTCCTTGGGTGATCGCTAATTATCCACCAGTCAATGGCATCCAAATGCTATGGAAATGTTTTTTGCTGAGCGACAAAGATCACCGGATAGATGTTTCGTCCTTTTTGGGACTCGTCAGCAGTGTGCGTACATTTTTCGTCCCCCTGTTCCCGCTAACATTCGGATCGGGACTCCAAACCCCTACCCCTGAGCTGAAATCTGAACGTTCGCCGCCTAAATTGATTGAGATATTCGGAGAAAGTGATGCCCGTCGAGAAGTAGTAGGTGGAGTCTTAAATAGCTATTGAATGAAAGAAGACTGACAAATATCAAACTTTCATTCTCATTTCATTAATACACCGAGCTTTGCGAATCGACCCTCACCAGACGCTACACGTAGACGATGGGATACGAATGACCCCATTCTATTTTCAACGGATATCTGAGCCGTGGATGCAGTACTGGGCGCTTTCCGGTTGCAGTTCTAGGGGATTAATCGACCGCTCTGCATAGAACCGCGAAAACGGCTTATTATTGTTGAATTTACTCTGCGTACTATTCATATCACTACAGGCGGTTTAAAAATACACACCCAAATGAAAAACGTATTTTATGTGCAGACAGACGATACTGACGATCATTCCGGTGAGAAGAAACTATTTGCGAGTGTTTGGGAGTTTGTCAGAGATCAACTTGCTCGTTCATCTAATTCAGATAAGTAGGCTTCGCTGGACGAGGAGCGTATTGTGTATGCCCAGCTGTCGTCTGCTGCACAGCGCTTTATTCGATTTTGGCAGATCCGAGCTGGAGGAAACCACGTGGAGAGGTCAACAGATGGTGTGGAGACGAGGCATGCAGAAATTCACAGAGCTATTCGCGCCTTGTAGGTTGCGGTTGAAGTTTATGGCAGCGAACCGACTGCAGTGGTGTTCTTGTTGTCATCTCTTATCAGACCAGAACGCTTGAAACGGTATGTATGCATAGTTCGATTGTGCACTCGCTGTGTTGACCATAGAGGTTCATTTTATTTACCCCTCCCTCAGAATAGATTCAATCCCTGTTCACTTTAAATGTCATCACTAACTTGGCATGCGTTGCGAGTTTGGCAGCGATCAGTGAAGTTCGCTTTACTGTATTGCGCTGTACAACGATGATGATAATGATGATGATGGCGATGATGATGATGCCTTCCGACCTGTAAATATCACGTTTAACATGTTGTTTGAAACAGAGTCTGCTGTACTGTGCAAAAATGCGATAAATCAGCAAACGAGGAAAAATTGTTTAGTTGGACACTGAAGGAATCAGTCGGTTACTCCACTGGAACCGCTGAACTAACTTTGATCAAGCTGATCTTTCTGAGACCAAATAAGGCTAGGGACAAAGTGCCGGAGGACCAAGGCAAAGGTTCTCGAAAAATCCTATGCGAACACTACTGTGTGACCTCAGATGTTCTCATTTGGTTCTCGCTACAACGAACAACCGTTTGTGTTTCTAAGGCGCGTGTGTGTGTGTGTGTTTTGTTTGCCCAAAACTACGCCATCTTGCATTTTGCCCCTCGGAAAGACATGACATTTCACATGTGGACAATAATCCCAGACAAACATGACGGATCGACTGACCCACTATTAAGTTTCTTTTTTAATTTTTAACCGCGTTGGTACAATTTCTGAGACCACAAACCCAAGGGGACGGGGGTGATAAAGAGAACTTGACAAGCACTTTATCAAGTGCACCCAAATAAGCCCAAAAGCGCCCCCTCCACACACACAAGCAATTACGGAGGGTATCGAAATATATGAAAAATGTTTCACCTCCGAGACCCCGGTGCACAAAAACGGCCAATCAAAAAAGACCACTTCCATGGTCTGCATCCACTAATGATTGCGTTTCACGGTTCATCTCTCTCTCTCTCTCTGCCGGTTGGGGTTCAGGTCTGATAAGTTGTACTAGTGCGTTTCGAATTTTCAAAAACAGTTGTTCGCCCAATCTCGGTAGTCAAACATTACATCTATAGTTTCGCCCATCCGATTTCACAGGACATAGATATCGTACATTGGTTTCTTAGGTTCGAGTCCCTTCGGGAACACGNCGGTTGTTGACAAACACGAGAGGAGAATGGCTGCGTCTGATCGATAAGAACGAAACAGGTGTCGAGCCTCTGAAAGTCTCAGTATGGTCGGAGGTGGGTTTCTAGGGTTGCGATTGGTCACCCTCTCCTCTACCCCTCGCGAAATGCTCCTATACGACTAAGCGTATACAATAGCTTCTGATCACAAATCTACTACTCACTGCCTTCCTGTGGGGCGGAGGTGTTTTCCCACACCAAAGTGAGAGGACGAAAAGCCGACATCCGGGGCTATAACCGCGTTGGTGGACCACTGGTAGTTCACCTAGGGTAGTTGATCAAAAACCGACTCCAAACCAACCAAGAGGAGGCGTATGAACCACACACCTTCCCGGTTATAGCGGTCACCGGCTCAATTGGGCACCTTGGACGTTTGGCCCCGTCCAAATGGCGTATGATCTGATGAACTGGACACCGGCATCCAACGAATTTTGGTTTCAACACACACGCACCACCCCGCGCTGCATTGCGGATCAGACTTTGGCTAGCTCCGGTTGTGGACTCCCCAAGAAAATTCACCCGCTTTAGCCTGGCAGTATTTGACCCACATACAAATCGTGCAACATTTTTTCTTTCTTTCTACAGCTTATTGTATCTTGATTTGTTTGGCACACAGTCTGGCGTCAGATACAGGGGTCAAACGACAACCCTGGTGTACACAAAAATTCGGTTGCGACCAGTCATATTCGGACTCAACAAGATCGGATAGTCGCGAATCGCCATGGCGATCAATTTTGCAATCAGCAAGGTTCGGTGAGCACACACACACAAATGGCCAATCAATTCGGTAGTGTGTACTCAAAAAGCATCTGTCAGGCAGTAGCGCAGTGGTTACAGTTGCCGCCTAGGAGTAACGGAATATTGAGTACTGGGGTATGAGCAAACTATATGCTCAAGTTAATTATTCAGAAAGATAAACAGCACTGTTGAGGCCTCTAAATAATAGCACTGGATGCCACTAGAACATAACTTTCTTTTCATTTTTGCTTTCTTTTACTAAATATACAGAGATACAATCCTTAGGAAGGAGGGAAGCGGCCAATCAAAGGGCTACAATACAACACACAGAGAATGGGAAAAGTCAGGCGGTGATTGATGATGGGACTCGAACACANGGTGATGTTACCACCGGGCCATCATCGTCTGGTCCCGTAACAGAAGCCCCATTAGGATATTTATGATCGTGATTTTTATAGCCCCCCAGGGTAGTCCATGGTCTAACCCTCATCCCGGTCATCAACTGTATGGATAAACACTGTGTGTACCGCGAAAACTCATACATTGACAGACGTAACACTTGATTCAAACACTTGGTGGGTTGGCGGGATATTGTAGTGCACTCTGAATTGGTTTTGATCGATTTACCCCCCCCCCCCCCACG